GCCGTATAGCTATGTATATTAGTGAGCATAATGTTAAAATGCCAGAGCAAGCGGCAATGTTGGCCGATGATTTTGTACTGACGCACAAAACCACTTTTGTTGATTGGCATGCTCGTGATGTTCAGTAAAGTCTCCGTCTAAGTGTAACCGGAAATTTTGACCCAAGCAAGATTTGCAATTACTGTCATGAGAAAGGAAATTGGAAAGCAGATTGTCCTGTCCTTAAAAATAAATCCAAACAATGCACAAAGTTCACATGTTAAGCCTTCTGCTCTTGCGGCACCAGTCCTGTCTTCAGGGAGTGAAATTGTTGAAAATCAAAAACTTGATGTTGATTTCTCCTCTTAGTCGCCTTTTATTACAGAGGGGCATGTATCCCTGGTTGGAGAGAAAGAGGAAATCCCTGTTAAAATCTTGCGGGATACTGGCGCAATTGATTCATTTAACTTGGAATCAGTATAACCTTTTTACTCAGTCTCATACTGGTGAGAGTGTGTTAATTCGTAGAATAGGACTGAATACTCTGTCTGTGCCTATTCATAAGGTAAGGCTTCAGTCCGATTTGATTCAAGGTGAGGTTGTAGTGGGAGTACGACCAGCTTTGCCAGTTGAGGGGGTCCATGTTATTTTGGGAAATGGACTGGTAGGTGAATGTGTGTGGGCTGATACTTCAGTGTTTCCCATAGTGACCACTGATGATAAAATTGAAACTGAACCGAGTTCTTTATGTCAGGATTCAGCGTGTGTCTTGACTCGTGCAATGAAACGTGCCAATAAGGATGAAGTGTGTGATCAAAAAGAGATTAAATCTGATAAAGTCTGCACTAAGTTTTTTATGCCTGATTTGTCTGCCTTGTCTTTTCCTGTTTCTGCAGAGAAATTAGGAAAAAAACAGCGGACTGACGACTCTTTGGATGAACTCTTCCAGAGTGCAGTTCTTCCAGTAGAAGAGTGTAACGTTTCCCGTGGATATTTCGTTCACAATGGAGTGTTGTTGAGAAAATGAAGTCCTCACAAAGATTTCGTTGGGGATCCTGTTTTCCAAGTAGTTGTTCCTACTAAATTTCGACAAATGATGATCGAAATTGCGCATGATCAATTAGGTCACCAGGGGGTGCGTAAGACTTATGATCGCCTGTTGCGATATTTTTTTTGGCCGCGTTTAAAACGAGACATCTCTGCTTATATTAAGAGATGCAAAACCTGCCAATTAACAAGTAAACGAACCAGGTGTTGAAACCTGCTCCGTTGAAACCAATTCAGGCTACTGGTGAACCTTTCGAGCATCTTATTGTCGATTGCGTAGGGCCACTTCCCCGTTCGAAGTCTGGTAGCATTTATTTATTCACTGTGATGTGTTTGAACACACGCTTTCCTGCAGCATATCCACTGCGTACCATTACGTCTCGTTCTATTGCGAAAGCTTTAACCCAGTTTATATCCGTTTTTGGTATTCCAAAAATCCTCCAAAGTGATCAAGGTTCAAATCTCACTTCGCATCTCTTCCAGCAGGTGTTAAAACAGCTGCACATTAAGCATAATCAATCTACTGCTTATCATGCACAAAGTCAGGGTGCATTGGAAAGATTCCACCAGTCGTTAAAGTCACTTCTCCGTGCGTACTGTGTGCAGCTGGATAGAGATTGGGAAGAGGGTTTACCATGGATGATGTTAGCTGCACGTGAAGTGGTGCAGGAAAGTACGGGTTTCAGCCCTAACGACTTGGTCTCTGGCCATAATGTTCGTGGACTGTTGTCTGTATTTCAGCAGGTTGGTAAAGCTGTAGAGCCTCCTAAAAACTTGGCGTCATATGTTTTGGGGTTTAAAAATCTACTCATCCAGGCTAGAAAACTAGCTAAATTAAATCTGGGAAAACATCAGAAAAACGAAGCAATGGTATGATTGTACGTTGAACATCGAGTGTTTGTACCAGGCGATCAAGTTCTTGTCTTACGGCCTATTGTATCTTCTCCTTTTGAAGCCAAATTTGATGGTCCATTTGTTGTACAACGAAAATTGACTGATGAAAATTATGACGTCTCAATGCCATCGCGGAAAAAGTCAGTTAAACGGTGCCATGTAAATCTATTGAAACCCTATTATGAAAAAGAAACCAAACCTGTAGAAATTTTGACATCTTTGCATCCAGCACTTTCAGCCGTTTCTATCGGTGGGGGTAATGTGAGATTGGTGGGTAAGGAAGAGGAGACCCTTTCGCCCGATGATTTTGTTTTTCGCGGCCGTTTGAATAATTCCGAGTCATTGCAAAACTTGGAGTTTACTCTCCTTCATTTATCTCCTGTAAGATGCCCAGGAGTTATGTGATGTATTGCATAGTTTTCCCGAATTATTTGATGATGTGGCATCGCGTATGATTGGGTTGAACATGACATCGATGTTGGGGACGCAAAGTCTATTAAACAGCGTTTTTATCGTGTTGCACCTGAAAAACGGGAATTGATGGAGAGGGAAATTAAGTATATGCAGGATCACGATATTGCAGTACCTTCTTTTTCTGATTGGGCTTCCCCGTGTATTTTAGTTGGAAAGGCAGACGGTACTGTAAGATTTTCTACGGATTTCCGTAAAGTTAACGCCTTAACAAAACCAGACTGTTTTCCTTTGCCCCGCGTCGAGGATTGTGTGGACCAGGTTGGTTCTGCCAAGTTTGACTTGCTGAAGGGCTATTGGCAAGTGCTTTTAACCAAGAGAGCACAAGAAATTTCATCTTTTGTCACCCCGTCAGGATTACACTCTTACCAGGTCATGAGTTTTGGCCTGCGAAATGCTCCGGCGACTTTGCAACGCCTCATGAACCGAGTAATTTGTGGCCTTGAGGGTTGTGCCGTCTATTTGGCCGATTTAGTCGTTTTTAGTGACAGTTGGGAGTCTCATTTAAAACGGTTGCGTTCGGTGTTGAGACGTTTGTCTGATGCTCGACTTACAGTGAACTTGACCAAATGCGAGTTTGCAAAGGCGACCGTGACATATCTCGGGAAGGTGGTGGGGAACAGCGAAGTGCATCCGATACAGGCTAAAGTGCAAGAATTTTCCTTCCCCAACGACAAAGAAAGAGCTCATGAGGTTTTTAGGGTTGGTAGGATATTATCGATCTATTTGTCGCAATTTCTCTACTGTGGTGGCACTGTTGACAGACTTGTTAAAGGGTAAGAGAAAGTTTTTATGGTCTTACAGTTGCGAATTGGCTTTTGAGAACGTGAAATCCTTGCTGTGTTCAGCGCCCCTGCTTATGGCTCCGTGCTTTGACAAACCCTTTACATTGCACGTCGATGCCAGTAATGTAACCCTTATTTGGGCCTAGCAGCATTTTACTGTTTACCTTAATTCCTGTGCACCTATTGTGATATATACGGATCATAATCCATTAACCTTTCTCAATTCTTTGCAGTGTCCGAATCAGAGGTTGGTTCGGTGGTCCTTGTTTTTGCAATCCTTCTGTCTGGATAGTTGACACATACGAGGAACGGAAAATGTGGTAGCTGATGCGCTGTCACGCGCTCCTGGTGCATTTCAATCTATTGGACTTGAATGTATTATTCCCTTTGGCGTTTTTGGGAGCAGTCTTTGGTCCTGAACTTGGCTGTACACTATGCCTGTTTATTGAGTTTTGTTTTGTTACAGGGATCTTTGTGGGAGTCCCTGTCTTATGGGGAGGGGTGTGACGACCTCTGCTGTTGGTTTTGGGAATTACAATTTGGTTTACGTGTGTCCCTTGTTTTTGTTGCTTCCCTTGAGCCAAGGGTCGCAACAGCCATATGCAGCTGCATCCGCATTCCACTGGGGACAGTGGAAGTGATAAAAAGAGGTTTTCTAATAATGATATTAGGGAAAAATTTAACAGAACATATCATGAGTATTAATCACACACACACACACGCACACACTTCACAAGACTTCACACTAACTAAAGCTAAAAAACGTCTCGGTTACTGATGTAACCCTCGTTCCCCGAAGGAGGGAACGGGAGACGTCACGTCGAACGTGAGCGACTGAAGGGGAACATTCTGTTCTTTAAAAGAATATTATTAAATGATTATATCGTTCAATTTAAAAATAAACATATTTTCTAAATTTACTGAAACGCTGTGAAACAATTATTTTAGTTTTAGATAAACAAATAAAATCATCTTCTAGCAACATATGATGGCAGAGCTTTCAGCTTATAGATTCTCCTATCCTAGAGATAGTGAAGTGCTAAGGTGGATTTCTGTCTAGATATGTAATAAACATTTTGCAAAATAAAACCTCAAAAAGGTTAATTATAGAGAGTAAGACAGAAACTCACCTGTTCACCGCTCATTTTCCTCAGCTGTAGGCAAAGGCAAGTTTCAAATCAGTGTTTATCCTGGGAGTCTAGCGCTAAATTAATCCCCTAGTTTAGCGCCATCTACTGTTTCAGAAGAGGAAGTTGCTCAACTGCATTTGTGAGAAAATCTGCCTGGACACATTTGTGAGAAAATCGAGCCGAGAGATCTCATAAAAAGCCAAGTGTCTCACAATCATAACAGACAGATATGCATTTGTATGCACTAGATTTGGTATTTGTTTAAAGGTTTCATGCAATTTGTAGGATGGTTTGTATTTATTTGTGAAATATTATCTAGGCTCATTTATCTATATTTGTAAAACACAATACATATTTGTTACTCCACTGCATTTTCGCTCAAATTGACCTTATACTTGCACATTGCTTTCTGTTTGTTTGCGAGTTGAGTTTTCCTTTGCAAAGCAGATCGAGTTTGTTTGCAAAATGCTGGATTTCTATCTCAGTTGAGATAATTTTGTAACAATCTAGGTTTGACTCAATCAAATATTGAAAAACACAAATATTGCCTGCTTTTATTGTTTACACACATATTGCTTAATACATCCTCATTATCATATAAAGTAATTATACACTTGAAATGATGAAAATAACAAATTAACAGTAATTATATATATTTATTGAATGTACACCAGCTCCAAATTATGCATTCATTAATTATGCTGATATTTATCACATAATTATGTTATACATGTCTTTACATGTGACCTGCTTTGTCTGCTATGCCTATACACACAGGAAATTCTTGAATTCTCGAAGTATTTACAATTTCAAATTTGCACTCAAAGAAAATGTTCACATCATAACAGTAGCTGCTTTATTGCATAAATCAATATTTTAATAAATTAAAATTAGCTGGAATTAACTTTTTTCATGCAAAGTTTTAACATTCTTTGTCTTATTACCTTGGCTTGTAAACCATATATTATGGGATTCAATCCTGGTGGTATAACATGAAACATTACACTCCCAAACTTCCTACTCTCAGCATATTCTGGGAAACGATGGAGAAATATTGGTACAAATCCACAAATCTGCATAATAATATAAACAGCTAAGTGAGTGCTGCAGGTTTTAATGGCTTTGCTGTTGGTTGCTTTGTTTTTGCTTTTTATACATACTATTGCTATTCTGAGATATGTCAATAACACCCACCCCAATGAGGAGGTGAGTAAAACCACAGTAAAACTTAATCCATATACATTATTAATCACTGTGTTTTCACAGGACAGTTTAAATAGTGAAGCGTTGTCACAAGAGTGGTTTGGAATGAATGATCTGCAGTGAGACAGACGCACACTAAGGCCAATCAGAATGGACACCGGAACTACTGCAGCACCCCAGGCTCCTGCTGACAGTTTAACTATCATTTTATTGCTCATTATAGTTGGGTATCGCAATGGATTGCATATGGCCACATATCTGTCAAAGGCCATGATCATTAGAATAGTATTGGATGTTGTTCCATATAAATGTGTAAAAAATGCTTGGAAAACACACTCCACATATGTGATGTAGCGCTCAGAGGGGTCTGTTAATAAGTCCTTCAGTAAACGTGGTATGAGGACAGTTGTTCCCATAATATCACTCACTGGCAAGTGACAGAAAAGAATGTGCATAGGCTGGTGTAAACTTTTTTCTGCTGAGATCTGAATCAAAATCCAAATGTTAGACACCATCACAAAGACATAAGCTATCAACAGAATAATGAACATGAGCTTGCTGGACTGTGGTGTAACTTGCAGTCCTTCCAGTAAGAGTACACTGTATCTGAATGTCAGGTTATCCATTTGTGACCTAAAGAAAACATACAGATTAATTGACAAACACTTGTATTAACAGCATATTCTCTCAAAGCATTTCTACAGGTAGATCATATATGCTTCCAGAGAAAAGTCATATAAATGTTCAAAAGATAATACTAGGGTTTTCTTAGTTATGTCACGCTTTACAATCTATTTCTTCCTGTAGAAAGGTTACTAATTTTTATCAAGGGAATTTGACTTTTTTTTTCTCATTGACACTCGCTTACAGAACTCAAGCAATATTGTTGATCACTGTACAATTATGTAACATAAGATTGATATAATATGACTACATCTGAAATATTCTTAACGTACCAAGGACAATGACCGATATATACACAGTTGTCTCGTCACTTTATATACAGAGTCATCTAATCTATTAATCAGTGTTACTGAGTTATCATTTGTTATGAAGAGCACAATCTGCTTGTCTCGGGGTAGATTTAAGCTGGCTTGACCATTTTATTTATATGTCACCACAACTTAAGTCTTGTCGTCATACCCCAAGAGTGAAAATACAATTTTGGCTCTCTTTTCTGCGATTGGTCCACTGCTTGCCAGGGGTGTGTTTCTCAAAGGCATTTTTAGCCAACTATGATTGCAAGTTTTGTATCAAAGTTCAATGATTTAGTGTTTCCCAAAACCATAATTCTAGTATATATTTGCAAACAGAATTGCAAAATTGTGGTTGGAACTTACAGCTCTCTACCTGTCTTTAGAGCTTAGTTTGTAGTTAGAATGAGAGTTGAACTTAATTAGATCATGCTCCTGATATCGTTTCATATTTATCTAAATTTCATTATGTATCTTCTAGTGTATCAAGCACCATTTTTGAAGAGTGCACAGCACTCAAGATCCTGGAACCCTGGAGTATGACGTAATATTTCTTATATTTCTAAATTATATTTTCAATGCTTTTGTGTTTGCTTGCACAACTTTAAAAAAAATTCAGAAGAACTCTGATAAGCGCACTACAGGCAGGGGCACCTTAAGAGAACCAAAGGCCCCTGGCCTACAGCATTTCAGTAGCCCCCCAGAGTTAGTTTTATAGAAAATGGTATGTTCCAATTAACTAAAGGTGGGAAAATTATGTGTTTAAGGGTAATCAGAAGTGAGGCATGCATGGGAAACAGAGAGTGGTTTGGAGCTTAAGTTAGGTTAGTTCACCCAAAAATGAAAATTCTGTCAGTAATTACTCACCCTCATGTTGTTCCAACTCCATAAGACTTTCGTTCACCTTCGGAACACAAATTAAGATATCTTTGATGAAGTCTGAGAGCTGTCTTACTCCTTCATAGACTTCTAGGCAATTTCATTCTGCCGGTCCAGAAAAGTTAGTAAAAACATTGTTAAAATAGTCCAAGTGACTACAGTGGCTCAACCTTAAGTTTATCAAGCGACGAAAATACTTTTTGTGAGCAAAAAAACGACTTTATTCAACTATTCATTTTCTTCTGTGTGGGCCTCTGACGTGAGTTCACAAGAGCGTCACGACGCATGCGCAAGAACTGAGAAGATGACGCAGATGGTTCTTGATGTAGTGTTTAAAATGGTTCTAAAATGTGCATTTCCTGGATGTCCGAATCGTGAGAAACCAACGAGAAAACGTAAAAGTGCCTTACCAATGCCGCAAAATGATTTACCTTTCACACTTTCCCATCAAATGATCGTGAGCGTCGTCTTCATTCATCATATCTGGTTCTGGGTCTTTAACTGTAAAACCCCTTACAATAGCATAACCACATTTCCAACATATTACTAAAGATTTCAATGTTTTAATGAAGCCCAGAGTATGAATTAAAACGTCTCAGGTTACGACTGAAACCTATGTTCCCTGAGAACAGGGAACGAGACACTGCGCCGAATGACGCTTTGGGGAACGCCTCAGACGTGACAGGTGTCTGAAATCACGGCAATCACATTGACCGGCGACAGCCCGAGAATCATTAATGTATTTTTTTTTTCTGTTTTTTTTTTTTTTTTTCTTCACATAGCAGCAACATAAACTTAAAATACTCCGTCATTTATGGTCATATAAATAAAATCAATACATGATTATAAACTATAGAGGATCTTCTTTTTTTGTGTACACTCACATTAACCCTCTGGGGTCTGAGGTGTTTTCGGGGTCCTTGAGATGTGTTGGCATGCTCTGACATTTGTGCTTTTTTCAGTTGCTTATAAACATATTATTGGCACAGGTGAAATTACACTCTATTTAGCACACACAGGGCTACCATAATATGTGAGCAACATGTATGTACATGTTTGTATTTTTGAGAGAATATTGTTTATGCGTGGTTATTGAAAAAACTAAAAAATAAAGTTTCTAATATAAGGCCACAAATAACATACTAAATATCTGTCCACAAGACTTTTGACTAGTGGATGTTGTCGCCTAGAGTTTTTGCTTCAAATTGATCTGAAAATCATTCTGCCTAATCATTCACATAAAACAATAGATTGTTTTAAATTGTGAAAAACATTTTTTTGTTTGCAAAGGCAATATGCGGATGGGCGGAACGGCCCAACCCCCTCATTAATAATTAGGCAGTTCTCACCTGAGCAGACTGCATACTAATGAGCCTTTCATTCAGGGGTGTCACACAAGAAAGAATGCAAGGACAATATATATATAAATAAATAAATATTTATATACACACACACACATATATAAGCACATTTTTAGTCACACCTTTTAGCCATCCACATACCATTTTTAGCCATCCACCACGGTAAAAATAAACCAGTCGCATTTCAAAGTCGTACGCGAAATGACCGCCAGGTGGCGCAAAGGGACATTTAGCAAAACGTAAGTGGGGCTAATGTCTATTAACAGTAGCCTAAGGATGAAATAATAGTTATGGTAATTTCCAAATAAGCCTACAACAAATTGTTGGTCATACAGATAAGATATAATCTTTTAAAACTGTAAAAGGCTAAAGTAGGCCTACTCACAGGCTAAAGACAAAACGTTTTCTGGCTCATGTGAGAAACAAACGTTTGGGTATTTCTCAGTAGCTGCATTTACATGGTTCAATCGGAATGAAATCAATCCGATTGATGAATACGAACACGGTGTTTACATGAACTATAAATAAAGTAATCGGGTTGATGTGCGCGTTTATATGTCACACTCACAAGATTCAAATCGGAATTGATTTTTTGACATGCGCAGACTGCACGAATATGCCGCTGTTCGCGCATAACTATTCTCCTCTATTGGTTCTTTTTTTTTTTTAAACAGCAGACTTAATATTTATCCGTCTCTGGTCATGATTTGGAGACGATGAGCATGAACCGTTTTGCCGTGCTGCTTATTGATCACGCAGTAACACCCCGCGCCCAAAACCAGTCGAGCATGGATGATAATCTGAAACAAGCACTGGTGGGACGTTGTCCTGCTTCACTTCACAGGCGCTGAGTGAAATGAGAAATTTTTTTAATAACGGAACACTCATTTATATTCACTTTATTCAACAGGAAGAACAGCTCGTTCCGCGCGTCATACGTCATTACACTATTTCAACGTCATTGCACATGCGCAGTCCTTTTAGTTTCGGTTTTCGATCCGATCAAGTGTTTACATGTTCTCTCGATCGGATTACAAAAGGAGTAAACCACCCCTTTCAATCCGATCGAAATTTCAATCGGATCGAGCTCAATCGGATCGATTAAGGTGTTTACATGAAGGTTTTTTAGTCCGATTGAACCGTCAATCCGATTATAAGTGTCCATGTAAACGCAGCTAGTGAGAAAATTCATCATCAAGATTACACGGGTTCAAATCCCGCACAAACATGGTCTGCTGTAAATTTTATATTTATTATTGCAGAGAGATTTGTCTAGCTCTAAAACTCTGTTACACCATACAGTTTTTTTTTTTTTGCTTATATTTATAAAATACAATTATCATGCATTTCCATTTTACACTAAGGAACAAAATAGTATCCAACAGAACGACTTTGCATCTGTATAATAATAGGCTACCAATCGTAATTTCAAAAGCAGTTCTGTAAAAAAATAAATTATATATAGCCTATATATATATATATATATATATATTTTTTTTTATTCCACACGCCACACCCCCGATTTCTCACGCTGAAGTGTCAACCCGGTCGGTCAAATTCCTGAAAGATATAGTTTATCTATAGATCTACCTGTTGAGCCACTCGTGATCGACTAGTTATTATACCGCAAATTAGTTAAAATATCCCGTAATCTATCTAGAGCGAGCGTGCATGCGAGACAGATATTGTGCTCCAAATCGTGCGCGCGCATGGCAGAGAGGTCTGTTCCCTACAACCTAGAGTTTTTAAAAACATGGTTTTAAGTAAAGTGTGATTTGCCAGGGGGGACTGGGATTTCCTTCTGGTCTAAACATCCCTGCTTCTGCTGAATTATTTTAATCCCCACACCCCTCCCTCCACAGCTAATCAATGCTATAGGCTACTTCACCAATATCAAATATATAAAATAGAGATATGCAACAGGCACGTTTAAACGACAAACAATAAAATCAAAACCAGCGTTTCAGTTGTTCATTAGTTCCAGTGGCCTTAATGCATGCACGGCTTTTCAAAATTTCACAAAGCGTGTTGAGATTATTTTGAATGAAATATTGAAGTTTATAATTAAATGTTTTGGCACACCACGCCGAGTGGCCCTATATGCATTTTTTTTTAAGTCGGGTTTTATTCTGGCATGGTGAGTTAGTGTTCGACAAACGCGGCGGCGCGTTCATTTAGATTAATTTATTTTTCTCATTATTACAGCTAAAATAACTTAATAGGCGACTCCGTAATTTTTTGGTCATACAGATAAGAGTAGAGTAGCTTACATCGTTCAAAACTGTAAACTTGTATTCATATTAGGCTAACGACAAAAACAGTAGATCTGTCGTCTCTGTCTCCGGGAACTGCGCGTCACAAAAATGAACCGAAAGCCACTTCAGCTCAGTCACGATAAGAAATCGGCTATGTCTAAAGCCTTTAAATGTCTAAATATTTAGGCTAATAAATGTTATCTGATTATGTAGGCTAATCCATATGAAAACGAGAGGTACAGAGGATCTACTCAAACATGTAATGTAAGCGCTTCCCAATGAGAAAATGACAAGACAAGGGTGAAAATCTCGCTCTAATTAAATGTAGGCTAAATCGCCCTGAATTAAAATGTAAAAACAGATCAAATAATGTATTTGTCGAAATGTTGCGATATTGTTTCATTTAAGTTCATAATTATTCTATATGTTATTTAATTTAGCAGCATTACCACAAAGCACCGTGTTTCGATATTTATTTGAATAATACAAAATAAAATAAAAACTTAATTCACAAATTGCATGCCTGGTTGTAAGGATCCAAAGATCCCTGTAGACTTTAATATTGAGTTGAACATTATGTTCATGACAACAAATTAACAAGCGTTTATAA